GCTGCTGCTAAGCTGGTTGTGCTGTGTGCTATGGCAGGAGTTCTATGGGGAGGATGTGAAGAAGTGTCCGGATTATGAAAGGATCATCAACAAGCATCACTTCAAGAGGATCATGGGCCTGCTGGAAGGGCAGAAGATTGCCCATGGGGGAGAGACCGATGAGGCCTCCTGCTTCATAGGTACCTGTGCCAGGTGTTGGGCAGGGGAGAGTGGGGGGCTGGCAAGCAGACAGCAGCCCCCAGTCCTGTGTTGACACCATCTGTGCTCAGCACATTTCCTGCCCTCCTCAGCACCCACCATCCTCACGGACGTTTCTGCGGAGTCCAAGGTGATGGAAGAAGAGATCTTTGGGCCAGTCCTGCCCATTGTGTCTGTGAAGAACGTAGACGAAGCCATTGAGTTCATCAACCGTCGGGAGAAGCCGCTTGCACTCTATGTCTTCTCCAACGACAAGAAGGTGGATTGGGGCCCTGCTCCTCCACAATGCTGGCTCTGCACACTTGGGTTCTTTGTGCAGCAGCCCTAGGCACAGCTCCCCACAGGACCTGCTTTGGCTCCTGTTTTCTGTGGATTGCAATATTTGTCTCACGTTCCCAGAGCTGCCTGGTGCATGCCGAAGGGCTCTGAATTTGCATGACATTATGAAGCAGAAGGATAACAGCTGAATTTCCTGTTTGGTGATTAGCATGTCATGTAGCTGTTCATGATTTTGGTATTTTTAGTATCTTGCTGTAGGGAAGAGCTCTAGTCTTTCCAACTTTTCAGTTAGCTTTGCATGGAGAGGGCTTGATTGAGTTGTCAGCGAGAGAAAATTAATATGATGGCCTGGCCGCCCATGCTCCCCTCTCAGTCCTGCTTGTCTCCTCTGGGCCTTTGTAATTTTTTGCTGTTGTTTTCTCTTCTTTCAGTTAATCAAGAGAGTTATCTCAGAAACCTCCAGCGGGGGCGTTACTGGAAATGATGTCATCATGCATTTCTTCCTCGCCACCTTGCCCTTTGGTGGTGTTGGTAAGTTACCAGAGCTCCTCTTTAAGCACTTTGACTTGCTGCTTGTTAGAACAGCAGTGGCTGGTTTGCTGTTGGCCACAAGTGTGACCAGCTGAGGTCACAGTGTGGTCTGGCCATGCTCTGTGTCTCAGGGAACAGCGGGATGGGCGCCTACCACGGCAAACACAGCTTTGACACCTTCTCCCACCACCGCTCCTGCTTGATCAAGGATCTGAAGATGGAGGGCACAAACAGGGTCCGGTACCCTCCCAGCAGCCAGAAGAAGTTGGATTGGGCCAAATTCTTTATTCTGAAGCGATTTAACAAGGGCCGTGTGGGACTGATCATGCTGGCCCTGTTGGGTGTTGTGGCAGCATTGGTGATAAAGGTGAGCTGTGGCTCTTTGCTTTCTACTTGAGTGCATGAGTAATTTGTTTTACCTTCTGCACGTCCTCTCTTTGCAATTTCAGACCTTTCTTAGAGCCTGGTCTGCTTTTTTTTGTCTCCTGACACTTATGCTTGGCCCACCTGAAATGATCAGCATCTATTTCTCACTCTTGCCAATGACACCTAGAACAAAAATATCCTCAGAGAAATCTCCCTGCCTTCTGTACTGTTTCTTTCTCTGTCCTGGGTGGTGACACTTGTGTGAAGCTCCCTGCAGAGGCAGATGGGGGTGGTCCATTTTTTCAGACAGCTGTGATCAGAAGCACAGGAGCCCAACAAGCAGGAGGAAATAATCAGCCTGCATAGCTGAGTCCAGGAGGAGGTAGAAGAGCCAATGACTGGCCTTGAAGTAACAGCTAGGGAAGCAAGCCCTGTTTAGGTGAACACCTCAGTGGAGGGGGGAGCTCACAGCATCTCGAAATCATTTGGGTTTTCTCAGAATCACCAGTCTGTGCTGAAGAGAAAAGCTCTCTTGGTTGTGCTGGCTGTTCAGAGGCTGGGCTGGCTCAGTGTGTGTTAAGGAGGAGCAGGTTTCAGAGCACTGCTGTTGCTGTTACAGTGAGGTAGGAGCCTTTCTCTTTTCCCGTATGCAGACCTGGTTGAGGTTGGGTGAAGCATTGTTAGAGCAGTGGACGTGGGGGGCTCCTGGCACTGGGGAGCAGCGCCTTCCCCTGCAGCTCACACAGTGTCTGAGATAACCAGCATGCCCAGGGGTGGAGGCAGATGAGCTGGATGTGGTGGCACCCTGGGGACATCAAGGGGAGCAAGGAGAGTTGCTTCAGATTGGTCTAGGAAGGAAGTTTATCTTGTTTCAGCAAAACCCTTACAGGAGGGTGGTGTTGTGTTTTGCTTTCACAGATGGCTTTCTGCTGAAAAGAGGAGAAGGTGCCATAACCTGTGTGCAAGTCATATTTTGGGCGCTCACTTCGTGTCTGATTCTTTCACTTCAGTCCTGTTTTTCTTTTGAGCTGGGTTATTTCTGTGAGCTGTTGAGCCTGGACTCCTGCTTACTGACAAGCCACACTGAAACAGAGGGACCAGTGGATACGAGCTCTCAAAAGGAGAACTGAAGAGCAAGAAATACAGCACCTGACACCCCCTGTCTTACACCAAACTGCCTGGCTTCATCCACTGACAAACAGGAGCTCGTGTTTCGGCTGTAATTGGCCTGGCAGTGTTTTCCCTGCAGTTCTGGGATCAGTCACTTCTGTTGTGCTCCAGCCAGCATTATTCTTGGTGACAGGTATGAGACAGGCTGTGCTGCTGGTGTGCTGGCTCATGCTTTGTTCTGACAGTGTCGGTTATGAATAAATGGGGTGAGATTCCCACCTGCCATCTACTTGGGGTGGAATATTCCTGGGTCCCTGTGAGCCAGAATCATCCACAGCTGTTGGGTGGTGCAGGCTGACTCCTTTTGGGGGCAGTGGGGCACATCGTAGCAATTATGTGATAGACTACAAAGAAGATAAGTGCCATGCCTGTATTTTACTAATGACAAGAGACCCCTGAACAGGAGAAAGCAATTACTGGGACTGTGTACCCCAATGTGTTTGAGCTTCTGGGTCTGCTATGGTCTTGCACTGGGTTATGACATGGGACCTGTTCTAATCAGGGGAGATGGTGGTGGGGAAATTGAAGGTGGGAGGACCCTGTAAATGTTCTTCAAAGGAAATCTGGAAGTGATGACTGGCTGCATTTCTTAGCAAATTGTGATCACTACGCAGTAGCGGGGATTTCTTTGCGTCTGGTGAAAATCCACATGCTAAGGCTTTGTAATGAATTATTTTGCAAATATAAAATAAATACTAAGAATTTAAATAAGAAAGCAGGTGTGGTAAGTCACTGCAATCTCCTCTGGAATCCTGCCTGTCCTGTGCCACCCCAGCTCCGGCTGAACTTGGCACATGTGTGCAGGCGGCAGCTGCTTCCCGTGTGCCTCCACCCCAGCACAGCAGCACAGATCACAGCGCGGTGATCTGCTGTCAGGGGGGATCACTGAGTGGCTGGGCTGCTTCTGCCCCTATTCTGTGCCAATCCATCCCATAAGTGTGTCCCACCTGCACTCAGTCTGCCCTCCTGGGACAAGTGGGATCACTTTCACGCCTTCAGCAGCAAGCAGTGGTTTGGTTGTGAATGGTGTTGGAGGGTCCCCAGTGCCTGAGCAGCACTGCAGTGAAGGAGCAGCACTTCCCTCCCATCACACAGAGCAGCAAGCTGGGATCTGATGCTTGTGAGCTCACAGCACCAGGGGATGGCTGGGTGAAGGGCAGATTGCATTGGGCCAGGGCCAAACATCCTCTCGTGGGAGGAGAGCGCTGTGTAGGAGCAGGGCTTGTGCTTACTTGCTCTGCCTGGGAGACAGCTGGCAGAAAACTGCCTTGAGGTAACTTGCTGTGCACTGGGCTGATGGTGTTGGCTGTGTTGGGCGTTGCGGTGGCGGTGGTGATACAGCTGAGTGGTGCTCTGTGTTCCCTGAGCCCCACCTGACTCCCCACCATCACCCCATTGCTCTGTGGGGCTCTGCTCCCCCTGGGGACACCCAGCCTGTCTGTCCTTCTGCAGGTAATGGCCCTATGATAAGGATTCCCTGCACCCAGCAGAGCCATAACCCATCGTTTTCATCCTGAATTCCTATTGCTGAACTTCTTTGCTACAGTTTCTTCTCTACCAACTGACCGAGTGGAAGCAAAGGAGCCCCGGAAAACTCAGTCTGCTGCTGAGCTGTTGCAGCCTCAAACCTTTGGCCACGTCCCAGTGGTGCGGGCAGAAAGGAGCAGTCCCTGCTCCACGCTGCAGAGAGGAGCCCATGGAGCAGCTGTTGGGCTCGGGGGAATCATGTTGGAGGAAGGTCACTCATTGCTGAGCCTGGCTGTGTAACATGTCTCACGTGATCCCTCATAAAGCTGCCTCATACCAGCAGTGAGCCCAACAGCGTGTGCTATGGATGGGAGCCTGGGCTGAGCAGCTGGCAATCTCACCTGTAATGGGATTTTCTACGTTCTGTTGGTGCACTGGTCGTCTTTCACCTCATAGTGCTGAACGGGGAGCCTGACCCTTGCTGGATAAAGCCTTGTTTCACTGCAGAAGCCATCTGGGTGTCCCAAGGGCAGTGCCTAAAGGATGAGCCCTGTTGAGTTCATTCTTTATTTGGCATTGTCAGAGCAGTGATGTGAGCTCAGCTCCGATCTGAGGCTGAGAGCAGCAGCAGGGCAGGAAGGGGACGCCTGCATTGCTCGGTGCAGCAGCCCAGAGCCGTGCTCCTGGAGTCGGAGCAGCTGCGGGGCCGTTCCCAAGCAGAAGCCGATGAGATGCTGCCAAGGGCTGAACTCTACGGGACGTCCAGGTGCAGTCCGGTCTGTACTTTGCGCATCCATCCGCCAGGAGGGGCCTCGGTCCCCAAAGCAAATCCCTGAGCCCCTCCGCAGGTCAGTGTTTGCCGGTCACGAGCTTTATCACAACGCCGAGCGCGAGCACTGCGATGGCCGCGGCCGCCGCCAATCCCCGCCGCAGGATCAGCCCCCAGGTGGGCGCAGCGCCCGGCAGCGCACAGCGCGGCTCCTCCTGGAAGTTGGCACCATCCGTCCTGGTGATGCCCGTGAGTACCACGCCGTTCTGAGCATCCACTCCCGCTGCAATGAGATGAGGAGAGGTCGCCGTGAGCCTCTGCCAGAGATCTGCGCGCTGCAGGCACGTAGCCGTCATCCCCAGCCCCTGCCGTACCTACGCAGCCCCGCACCGCTGCAGCAGGGAGGTCAGTGTGGGGCATCAGGGTTGGCCCCTTGCTGTGGGGTGCGGCGTTCTGCTGCTGCTGCTCCTCCTCCAGCGGCTGCGGGGTCACTCCTGCGCGGCGCTGAGCCTGGGGGAGCAATGAGACTCAGCCAGGGGGGGGATCCTCACCTGCAGTGCCTATGCGTGTTTTGTGCGTCCAGAAATGGCGCAGTGAAGGATGCCCCAGTTCCCCAAAGCTAGTGGGAACCTCAGAGCTGTTAGCACGGAGGGGCATCTCGAGGTGCTGGGAGGAAGCAGAACGCGAAGGAGCATCGTGGTCCCAAACACGGAGCCCTGGGTTTTGCCATCCCATCCCAGTGGATGGGTGCACACATGGTTACCTCCTCAGCCGCCTTCCTCCAGTCCATGCGGCAGATATAGATGAGGAAGCAGGTGCAGAGCATGGAGACGCAGATGAGCATGCTGAGCCACAGCCCTGCCGGGGGTGTGCTGGTGTCAGCTGGGCAACATCACCAGGCAGACCCAACTGAGAAGGGCCAGCGTGCCAAGAATGGGGACATCAGCAGGAATGTGGGAATGGGGCTGCCCAGCAGAGCTGCAGCAGTGGCTTTTCCCAGGGTGATTTAGGGCACTCAGCAGTGCACTGACTGTTCCAGTCTGCCCCAGTGCTTGCAGTCCCCAGCAGCACTGCAGAGCCAGGCAGAAGAAGCAGTAGGGAGCCGCATCCATCTATGGGGGCTGGGGGAGGCAGTACCTATGACGCCAATCCTGGCCACAAAGAGCAGCACGGCTCCCAAGGGCAGTCCCACACCATAGTAGCTCACAGCGTTGAGGATGGCACCGAATTTCTGCTTGCCTGTGCCTCTGAGCACCCCACCACAGGCACACTGCGGGGAGAGGGAGCAGGATGGGGCCAAATCTGGGGCTGTGAACCAGCTCTGAATACAAGATTTTCTCTGCCTCCCTTCATAGAATCATTAGGTTTGGAATACACCTCTAAGCTCATCCACTCCAACCGTCAGCCATCACCACCACGCCCACCAAATCATGTCCCAGTGCTCATTTCTCTTTGCCCCATCCTGCAGGTTCGGCGCTTCTCGTGCATTCAACACCAAGATCCCCTCCTAAAAGTAGCAGCACTCCCAGGGACTTACACACATGGCTTCAAACAAGTGGAAGACGACGTAGACAGGCATGACCCAGGCCACCAAGTCGATGATCTCCCTGCAGACAAAGAGCCATCAGTCTCTTTTTGGGAACAAGCATCCATGGCGGGAGCTGGGGGCTCTCACTTTTCATTGGTAAAGATGTATCCCAGCACGTCCTTTGTGGCAGCTAAAATGGCTCCTACAGCAACGCAAAACCCTCCTGGAAAGGAAAGCAAGGAGGTGAGTGCATCCTGATGGCAATGGGGGGCCTGGGGCAGAGAGAGAATGGGGCAGAGCACTGCTGCTGACCTGTGCAGAGCATGCTGGTGGAGGAGGACCTCTTGGCCACCTCAATGTCACCGGCGCCCAGAGCGTTCCCCACCTGCACACTGGCAGCTGTGCCGAGCCCCAGGGGGATCTGCAGCAACAGGGGGTAAAGACAGTGGCAGGAAGGACAATGGAGCATCAGCTTAATTTTGGTCATCTACTCCGTGGGAAGGGGAGGGAGAAGCAAGGAAGGACTTGAGCACGGAGAGGGGAGATGTAGAGAATGGAACTGAGTGAAGCTGAGCTTTGGCTGTATCTGAGCTGGGACTGACCCTAGGGAGCCCGATCTGAACCCAAAACCCACATCACTTACCATGAAGGCAACGACAGACACCTCGTAGATCACAGACTGTGCTGACAGCTCCACGACACTCAGCAGCCCTGGGGGCAGGAGGTTCAGGTGCTCAGCCCCTGTGATAACCACAGTGCCCCATCTCACCCTGGCAGTCCCCCTCCCTCTGCTGACCTATCAAGAAGCTGCCGATTTCATAGGTCCACCACTCGATGCACATCATGAGCATGCTGGGGATGGCCAGGGAGGTGAAGCTGTCCCACTCCAGCAGGCACTCTTTGGACCATCCTATAGAGAGTAGAGGGTTTGGAGGTTGGATATTAGGAAAGGTTTCTTCTCAGAAGATGTGTTGATGTTTTTGGAACAGGCTGCCCAGGGAAGTGATGGAGTCACTGTCTGTAGAGGTGTTCAAGAAAAGATGTCACACTGAGTGACATGGTCTAGAGCAGTCACAGGCATGGGTTGGTAGTTGCATGTGATCTTGTTGGTCTTTCCAACCTTAATGATTCTATGGAGGAGATGGTCCGTCCTGATGGAAGCCAGACTGGCCAAATATCACCCCAGGAGCTATTAGCTGAGCCCCCGGCATAATTCTCATGGGCTCCATGTGACCTCTAGCTGCACATACAAACTGAGCTGCAACGCTCAGCTCATCCTTCCCAGATGAGTGCACCTGAGGACAACCTCATGCCTACGCCTGCGCTCATCCGGCTTCTGGGCCAAACCCTAAAACACCTTGACAAAGGGCTTCCTTCCTCCCCAATTAATGGTTACTGCGCGGCGCTCTGCCAACGCCTGCATGCCAGGCTGCCACTGGAGCAGCACAGCATCCCCAGGCTGGGGTTAATGTTTCCCCTCCAGCACTAACAGAGCTCACTCAGAAGAAGCGGTAGAAGATTGACGAATGCATGCGTCAAGCAGGAACTGGAGGGAGATGCCTTACCTCCCCATGTCTTCACATGGAGCTTCTTGCCTACAATGTACAGGAACAAGAAAATGGTTTGAGAATACTGAGCAATGGTGTTGGCCCAGGCAGAACCCCTGCAAAGGAAATGAGAAAGGCTGTTGGCATCGTGCTCACATCTCCCTGGGTTTGGGGTGCTGGAGCCTGATGTCCCTGGGAGCACCGGCTGTGGCTGCTGCTGTGGTGTCCCCAAAAATGACTTTTGGGTTTCATTTTTCCCCCTGCAGGCATTACTCACACAATTCCCAGGTGGAGCACATAGAGGAAGACGGAGTTGGCGATCACATTGACAATGTTGCCAATAAGCCCGCTCAGCACCACGGGCCACATGATCATCTGCAACAAGGGGTGAACGGGGGCTGCCATCTGCCATGGCCGTGGGAAGACCCCACCAGCCCCCACCTCCCCACAGCTTTAACAACAAGAGAGGAAACTTCTGGCATTGGAGGTATAGCTCTGAGATGGGGACATTGGATGGAAGTCCACTGGGTAGAGGGATTTATCTCTCTGGAAGAGCTCTCCATGATGTTGTATGGGTGTGGGGTTGGGGGAGCCCTGAGCTGAGAGGAGCCTGGGTGGGTATGGGGTGTGGGACCCACCTGGTTCTGCAGGTACCTGGTCTCCAAGTTATACAGAAACACCGCCTGGAAAGCAAACAAGCGCATGAGCTGGGGCCAGTGCTGGGACGGAAAGGTGCAAAACACACGGCCAGCAGCCAGGGCTTACCGGCAGAGCAGGGACAAATGCCATCACATAGAGCTGGGTTAACCTGGGGGACACGAGAGGCACGGTCAGCGAGGGACACGGCCACCAGCACCCCACCAAAGCAGCGTCCCCTGGAGACCACCCAACCTGGAGACTTCAGGGTCCTGGCGGATGAGCAGCAGGAGCTGCTCGATGTTGATGAGCACAGCGCAGCAGGGGAAGCAGCAGAGCAGGAGGATGATGATGGCACGCTGCAGGATCACCCCCACGCGCAGCAGGTTCCTGCTGCCGTAAGTCTGAGGGCGAGAGCACGGCATGAGCTCTGCTCCTGGGAAGGGCTCGGTGTTTCCTCTGGACTTTAGTACTCCTGGTTATGGGATGGCTGCTGGAGCTCGGCAGCACCAGGTGATGCTTGAAACCCTGGTGGGTGGCCCCAGGGCGATGACACCCACCTGCGATATCAAGGTATCACATGCTGAAGACAGACCGTATCCTACAGAGATGGCAGTGACATTTATAACCTGGAAATGGGAATACAAACTGAGAGAAGTGAGTACTTAAGTGAAACAGTTTTTAAGTGAAAACAGTTCAAAGGAGGCTGAAGTCTCCTCTGTCCCCTCTGCCTGCAGGTCTCAGCCACCCATCCCCATATCCCAGCCCCACAGCATGCTCACCGCGATGGCCAGTGTGACAGACGCCAGCTCGACCTTGCCCAGGTGGCCGCAGAAGATGGAGCTGACCAGGTGTATCAGGAAAATCAGCAGCTGGATCAGGATCTGAGCATGAGGAGAGGAGATGTAGAGGTTGGAGATGGGTGTGAGGGTCACCTCTAGGTTCGGACAGGAGGGCAGCATGTTTGGCAGCCCTTGGTTGCTCCCCTCTCTGGGTCCTTACCAGCGGCCCTGCCAGCACCAGCAGCTTCTTAGCATCCTCCCAGAAGCTGCCTGGGATCAGGCGCTGCATCCAGCGAGGTTTCTTGTTACGGCCGTCAGCTGTCCCCTCGCTGATGCCATTCTCCTCGGGCCGCTTCATTCTGCCGCTCTGCCAGGAGTGAAACGTTCCCTTTTCTCCGCGCTCTGTTAAAGCTGCCGGGTGCCACAGCCCCGACAGGGTGAGCAATGTGTAACCTGGGGCTGAACTTCAGCCTGGCTGTCTTGGCTGCGTGTGGCCAGCAGCAATGGGCAGGGCAGGGAGCGGGGTTTTGGGCGGCGCAGATCCTGCGTCCCACTGCAGAGGAGCCCAGGAGCTCAGCACAAAGTGATGTAGGAGCTGAGCCTTCCCAAATCGTCCCTGTGAGCCCTCATACCCTGCTCTGCTGTGTCCGGTGGGCAAGAAGGTCGTCCTCCTCTTCCAGCAGAGATGGAGTGTCCGTGGGTCCGTCCGCTGCTGGCGGGTGGCTGTGAGTGTTCTGGGCCGTTCTCATCTCAGCACGGTGTTGGCCAACACAAGCCGGCCCCATTGGCTCCAGCTGTCTGCCCCGCACAGCGCGGCCGCGTCGGGTTTCAGCAGCACTGCTGTGCCAGGCCAAATATAGCATCCCTCCTGGGCCCAGCACAAGGTGCTGGCGATGGCTGGGAGCTGCTGCCCTGGGAGCAGCCCCTGTTTTGCACAGAGCAGACAGTGGCTCCATGCCTGTCCTACTCTTCCTGGGCTGTGGTGCCAAAACAACAGTGACTGCAAGCAGGGCACAGCCTGTCGCGTCCTCCCACGCCTGGGGACGGCCCGCTGGGGCTGTGCTTAATGCCTGCTGTGAGCTCCTGTAGGAACCATCCCACCCACAGGCACCCATTGCTACATGCCAGGAGATGCCTTGCACCACTGGAGTTGATAATTGCATCTGAGGGCTGAGCACACAGCCTGCAGCATCGCTGCTGCCACACGGCTGGAGGTAGGAGAGCTCGTACAGGGGGCAGGCAGTGCTGTTAGCACACGTGGCATCCCCTTGGCAGCACCACAGCACCCTCCCCAGTGAGAACCAGCAGCAGCTGAGGTGCACAGATCCCTGACTGCTTCTGCAGCCTCCAACCCTAAGGCCAGGACTTAGAGGCCATGTATAAGGTTATTCCTATGAGGCTTGGTCATCTACACAAACCAGCACACGCCTCCCCTCACCCAGTTCGGTTGTGCCAATGACCGGGGTCACGTTCACACCCTGTTAACAGCACAACATTTACTCAGAAAACTTTTATTGTATCAAAATTCCACCTTACAAAAGTGCAAAGAAGAGTTGCTCTAGGCCCTGTGCCTGTCATGCAGGGCCGGCGCCCAGTGCCCTGGCAGAGCGTTCAACCCTTTTCCAACCCAGTGGCCCTTGCACAGCAGTGGATTTCAACACCTTGAGGTGCTGGTGTGCAAGGGCCCACAGTGAGCAGGCAGTCTGGGCCTCTGCCATTAGCAAATGATTTGGACAAGTGCTCCCAGCAAGGAGGAAGCAGGATGGCAGCACGAGATCCCTGTCTCCATCCCTGGCCACGCCAAAGGTAAGTTCCAGCTTCCCAAAGTGACATCCCCCAGGCAGCGCTGGAGAAGTGACCAGATCTCAAGCTCAACCCCTTTAAGAACCATGTGTGTGGGACAAAGTATTATAACCAGAAATGGAGCAAAGTGAACTCTGTGAGGGGCTGAGGGAGGATTACTTCCTGCATCATCCTCCTGGGGCATCACCGTGTGCCCTCCCGCACAGTTCCCTGGTGGCACGCTGGCAGTGCCTCTAGCTGTGGGCTGTCAGGAGCCGGACCAGCACGCCCACCAGCAGCACAGCAAGGGCAGCAGCAGCAGCCAGCACCCGGCAGACAATCAGGGCCCTCCATGCCACAGCAGGAGGAGCAGGGACATCCTCTGGCTCTTCCTGAGTGATGAGCTGGTGATCTGGGAGCCTCTCGCCTCTTCCCACCATGCTGTCAGGCAGCACCACGGTCTCCACGTTGTCTGTGTCTACAGAGATGTAATCTGTGCAAGAGAGGTGAGTGCTGTAGCGAAGCTGAGCTGCAAAGCCTGCAGCCCCCATCTGCCCCCTGTCCAGTCCTGAGGGTCCTCTCCCGAGGCTCAGGGCTGAGGGAAGATGCAGGTGTGCTCTGGCTCTCCCTTGGAGCAGCCAGGGTGGTGACAAGGGTAACGGCCACCAGCACAGACACTGTGCTCTTTCCAGATATCAAAGCTGGAAGAACAGACACCACAGCCGTGGCTGTGAAGGAGAGGAAGGGCTGGGTGGAGGATTTGTGCTCCCTCCCTGTTGTAAGGCATGGTTACGTACCTATAGCAGATGTTTTGTTAGCAGCTGTGCCATTGGAGTTCACATCTTCCAGCTGTTTTTTCAGACCAGCTCGGACTTGAGCCTAAAAGCACACACAAGAGTTGTTCTCAGAGCAGAGATGTGCTGCCCAGCCAAGCAAACCCGAGCCTCCTCCCTGACCCTCCCAAAGCAAGCATGCTTAGCCCAAACTGCTCCAGTGCTACAGAAGAGGACAGAACTGGTGTCACTTTAGCTTCCCACAGACATCTTTACTGCTATTCTGGGGCAAAAGCTGGCATAACACCTACTAAGAGTTACTGCAGGGAAGCACAAGTCTTACCTCTTCTGCAGCTTTCTTCCAATCCATGCGCATGACAAAAGCGGAAAAGGAGAGGGATTGCAAAGAGATACAAAGGATCATCCCTACCCACAGACCTGCCAGAATGGAAATGAAACTTCATTGAGTGCTGATGGAAACCTCACTGCTTTCATGGTCAAAGTCACGGTCAAAATGCCAAACACAGCCAGAGCTGCAGAGCTGAGCAGAGGATGCACGTACCCAGCACCCCCATTTTGGCTGCAAACATCAGTGAGATGCCGATGGGCAAACCGACAGCGTAATAACCGACAGCGTTGGCGATGGCACCCAGCTTCTGCTTCCCTGTGCCTCTCAGCACACCACCACAGGTTGCCTAAGGAAAGCAGCAGGGAAGAGGGAGAACTTGAGAGCTACAGAAGAGTTGTTTTGCAGCAGTGCCAAGCACAGGGGATGCTGAGGTGCTACGGGTGATGCAAGCTGCTGCTGTGACAGTTTTTTCAGTTTGCTTTTCTGTATTGTAATAGATCAGGAAAGACCTAAAGGCAGCTTTGCACTCCCCACTGTACCTCTACTTGCAGGGAGGAATTGCTCCCCATGCTGGGTTACTCACTGCTGCTGCATCAAACAAGTGGAATGGAGCAAAGATGATCATCACTTTGGACACCAGCATAACGATCTCCCTGTGAGAAAGACGTATGTACTGATCAGGGAAAGCAGCACAGCTTGGGCTCAGGGCACTCTGGTTCTGATGCATCTCCTGGGCCAGCTGCAAACCCTGATCCCAGCCTCTGAGCTGCTCCTGGGCAGATCATGTTACCCAAAACGGTAACAAAACCCCAAAGAAAGCTGCCAACCCACTTGTCACTGGTGAAGATGTAGCCCACCACGTCTTTGAGGGTTCCCAGTAACGTTGCAACCACCACAGCAAAAACTCCTGAAAGAAAAAGAAGTGGATGAGCCTCAAAGGCTGCATCTGCTGCTCTTGAGCAGGTCCAGACCTCAGGGGCTTCACGTGATGGGGATGGGGCTTGGCAGACCTCCAGGTATTACTGCAGAGCAGGACAAGGCTGCTGTCCTTACTTTGCCCCTCGATGCTCTATCCACCATCTGGAGGTGGAAGACAGAATGCTAAATTGCACTTTAACTATCAAAGCCTTTGCACTAGGTTCCTTCTTCCCTGGCAGAAGAGCCAGGGTCTCACCCTGTCCAAACAGAGTAATCTGAACAAGTGGGCTTGGGTTGCTGGGAATGGTCACCAGTCCTGTGAGAGGTGAACTGAACCTATTGCTGATAATTCTTTTATTCCCCTCTGCAGGGACCTGGGCTGACCTGCGCACAGCAGAGCAGTGATGCAGGACGTCTTGGCTTGCACTACATCCCCTGATCCCAAGGCATTGCCCACTCTGATGCTCACGGCCACACTGAAGCCCAGAGGCACCTGAGAAGCAACAGACAAAGAAGAGGTGAGTGCCAACAGCCTGCAGCAATTGTCTTCTTCCCCAGTAGGGAATCTGCAGCTGATCCCAGTTTTATGCATCCAGTCCTTACCATGTATGCTGCAGAGGAGAGCTCGTAGATGACAGACTGAGCACCCAGTTCCACCACACTGAGCAGCCCTGGAAAAGATTCACCGCTTTGTTAATTAGGTCAAAATTAGTTTTAATTAGCATTAACTTTTCCTTTGCTGACAAGAAGGCAATGACTACAGGGTTCCCATCTAACACATGCAGCAAACCGCAGAACCAGCCGTGCAGAGGAGGCTGCTGGCAGGAGATGCTCAGAGACACACTCAAGAGGCAGCCACCAGAGCAGGCATGGCTGCAAGATGCTCTGCAGAGCCATGGAAAGAGAATTTGGACTCACCTGCCAAGAAGCTCCCGATCTCAAAGGTCCACCACTCAATGCACATCATGAGCATGCTGGGCAGTGCCAGCTGGATGTAGGAGCCCCAGTCCAGGAGGCAGTCTCTGGTCCAACCTGCAACGTAGGGATGAAGCATCATGAGCGCATGATCCTCCTTTTCCTTGCTGAAGGGGAGCCATGAGGTTATGTGGACATTCTAAAGACAGCAACCCATGGGATGTTGTAGGACACCAGCCTAGAGCTGCTGTACCACAGAGCATCCCAGAGGTGGGGGGATCAGGAATGGGCTTGGGGCTACAGTAAGGGACCACAGGCCATGGCTACAGCCTCTCCCACAGTGAGGAGATGGTCATCCCTTTATCAGACCTACAACCCAGGTGCTGGTGTCAGTGACAAATCCCCAGGGCCAGGCACTGTTCTGTTGAAGGGTTAAGCTCTGAAGAATACCTCCCCATGTCTGCACGTGGATCTTCTTCCACCACACAAAAAGGAAGAGAAGAATGGCCTGACTGTACTGAGAAGCAGTGTTGGCCCAGGCTGAGCCCCTGGGGAGAGAAACAGGCAGATTATAAACAACACCCTCACTCATTTTTCAGCCCCAGCAGACCTGGTGGCAAGCACCTATCCCTTGCTGCAGGAATGGACCAGCCCCTTCTCCCCCACACATGGCACCCAAGATAAACCCTCACAGCCCCAAGCCAACCCCTGCACCCAGGCAGAGGCTGTCACCACCTCTGCTCACACTTACACCATGCCCAGCTTCAGTGCATATAGAAAGAAGGCATTCATGGCCACATTGAGGATGTTGGCTGCAACTCCTGTCACAACCTGAGGCAAAATGATCGCCTGGAAGACAAGGAGAGACTTTAGAGTTTTCTTTTCCAGCACTGCCCAAGCTCCCAAGCCTGCAGCCAAGACCCAAGCTACCATCCAGCAAACACCAGGAAGTCCTTCATCAGTGTCTGAGGAGAAAGCCAAGAAGGTGGCTCCTGCTTCAGGTAAGATCAGATTGCATTAGACATGCAGAGGACAGCATGCAAGGCTCAGCAGCTGGTACAATCAGCTCAGTGCAGAGTTCAGAGGTAGCAGCAGGAGAACGGAGCAACCCAAAGGTGATTCCCACAAGCTCCTCCTGTCCCACAGAGCCAGCTGGAGGCTGTGGATCACACATTCCTCAGCCCAGCTCTCCCCAGGACAGGATGAACTTAGATCTCCAACCTTATCCACATTTCTAGGAGCTGGCCCAGAGCCCGGTTACACAATACCTGACTTAGTAAATATCTTGTCTGCAGCTGGTACAGAAACGCCGCCTGCAAGAGTCAGAATTCATTTGGTCAGCACTGCTGTACTATGGTTCAGTGGCCAGCTACAGTTTAACACCTACAGCAAGGTGTTAACACTTGCACGGCTGTGTCAGGGTGCTACAACATGGCACACTGCCCGCAGTCCTGTGCCTATGCTTGATTTTAACCTTGGAGCACAGCCTCAGCTTAGAGGAGCTTCTCCAGGGAGGCAGATAACAGCTGAGAGTCCAGTGGCTGCATGTGTGTGAGTTGCAGCCTTTATCACAGAGCTGAGTGAGCTCTGCAGCACTCGGTTCCAATGTCCAGAGCTTGTAACTTGTTGTGCAGAGACGTGGCCTGCAGTAAAAGCCTCTGCACACTAACATGAAGGAATTCATGTTTGCTGGTCCAGCAGCTGCTGGCCAGTGCTCATCCATTAAGGCTTAAGAGGCACATTGCAAAACTCAAAATCATGCTGCCTTGTGACCCACAGAGCAAGGACCCTTCCTCATTTCCCCATGCAGAGCTTCTAAGAGCTTTAGCAACAACTTACAGGAAGAGCTGGGATAAAGATCATCACGTAGACCTGCGTTAATCTGGAAAGAGAGATGTTTACCCAGTGAATGAGGCAGAAAAGCAAGAGCCAAACCAAGCAGAGTTGTATTTGAGCTCTACAGAGCCTAGATTTCAACACTATGCATTACAAACACCCAGCCAAACACTCAGCACACATGGGACTGACCAAGGGGCTTCAGGGCCTGCAGGGCTGAGACCTGATGTGCTGCTGATCAGAGAGGAGTCACACTCAATCTCACTCTGACCTGGAGACCTCGGGGTCCTGCCGGAGGAGCAGGAGGATCTGCTCAGTGTTGATGAGGATCGCCCAGCAAGGAAAGCAAAACAGCAGCAGGATGAGGATCCCTCGCTGCAGGATGGTGCCCACTTGCTTCAGGTTTTTGCTGCCATATGTCTACGTGAGGACAGAGGACCAAAGTAAGATTTGTGGGGAGCCAAAGGGTCTGGGCATTTGCTCAAGGCTGGGGCAGCGATGTAATTTTCCTTCTTGCTCCCAGCAGCGGCCACCACCAGGCTGGTTGGGTTTAACTGGCTCTCGGGTGCATTGTGCTTCCCTCTGCTATCCATCCTCCCACCTTTTGTGCCCCAAACCACACCACACAGGAGGTGAGACAACCCCACCAGTAACAAGGAAGAGGGAGCTGCCACCAACCTGGGACATCAGCGTGTCACATGCCGAGGCCAGACCAGAACCAACGGAGATGCCGATCACATTGATGACCTGGAGGAGATACGAGTGACTTGGGCAAGTGAGAATCACAGGGAACGTGGCCCAAAGCACCATATCTCTCCCTGTTGGGAAGGGAGATCGTTCTGCTGTGAGTTTTTTGGGAAGTTTCCAGACTTCCTCTGTTTTTCACAATAACATATTGATATTACCTAAACACCTATTCCTTGTTATGACGTGAAAAGGAACATCTAGCAAGGGATGAGCAGCTAAAGGACTACAAACAGTGCAGCTCCCCACCACACACACACACAGCCAGGTCTTGCTGCCCAGCTGCTGGCCTTGCACAGTCACTGCTTTTCAGCTCACATCTCCTGCCTCTGCTCAGGAGGCAGGAACAATTTGGAAGGATGCAATCTTTGTGCTGCAACAGGCTGTGCGCAAAGAATCCTCAGATAAGCATTCCTCCAGGGCTTTTCTTTTGCCCCTTCTTCTTTTCTATTCCCCTTTTTTGATGTCTCACCATTTTCATGTCTCAAATCAGAGGGTAAGCAAGGCAATACATACAGACACGGCCAGCGTCACAGCATCCAGCTCAGCTTTCCCCAGATGGCCGCAGAATATAGAGCTGACCACGCTGATCAGGAGCCCCAGCAGCTGGGCTACAAACTAGAATGGGAAGAGGAGATGGAGAAGTGAGCACCACTAGGACAGAGGAGCACTGCCCTTCCCCTGCAGCTGGGCCATGGCCAGTTGGGTTTGAACCAACAGCGAGCTTCCCCAGGTTGCTGGTGGCTTTGTCCTTAGACCCAGTAGTGTTTTGGTGCTACAAAGCTGATCTGCTTGTTTAGCTGATGTCCTTGTTTAGCTGAGGCTTAATGGTTCCCTTCTTGGAAACTGGAAATCCCTTCTTTTCCATCATGAAAGCTGAATAGAGAAAGAAAACTCCCAGTGCTTTTTTGCACTTCTATGCATCTGGGGAAAGCTCAGCTCCCCAAAACACAGTGTTCTCTCCTCTAAGTCTGGCCTGCACGTTCCTCTCCAGCAAGGATTGGTGATGCTGTCACAGACACTGAGCTCAGAACCTCATTTTTCCATGGCAAGAGGTCAACCCCGATGCAGCATGGAACTGCTAGAAGAGGATGGTATGAGCAAGAGATCCCATGGCAGGTGGGTACAGCTGGGGAGCCATGCCTGGGGGCTGCTCACAGTCCTGTCTTCCTTGCAGGCTCCAGGGCTGCTGGAGAACTGGCTCCTGCGAGGCCTGAGGAAGAACCAAACCAAACCTCCCACCGCTGCCTGCCTGCACTGTCTCAGGCCCGTCTCAGCACGTCCAAGCAGCTGTGAGTAAGGAGAGAGCAGGAGAGCTCTGTACCTCTGTGACTGCTCTAGCACAGAGAGCTAAACTTGGCAAGCAGCACTAGGTTTGCTTTGAGGCTCTCTGTGCCCACCAAGCAGGGGATGGAAGCGTTGAGGGGCTGATGGGCACTGCTACGGAACAGAAACCACCGTGACTTCCTCTGCTGCACCGCGGCATTGGGGCCACGTGAGTGTCACTGAGGACATCGCCCAAAGCTGCTCCGCTTGGTCCTCGTCCACCAGGAGGGGCGGAGGGCTCAGGACACAGAGCATCCAGTTAGACGGATTTTCAGCCCAAGCCAGCAGCAAAGCCCGGGCTCCCAACGCACCGCCGGGGGAAGGATACGGCTGGAAGGGAATCTGCCGCGCTGGGTGACAGCTAAAGGATGAACCACAGCCGAGCCCCGTCCGTATCGGCAGGCGGGTGCAGGCGGCACCGAAGCGCCTCGGAGCAACGCCGGCTCCGCGGAAAGCTCAGCCGAAAGCTCCGTTCAGGCCCCCCCGCGCCCCGCGCCGCTCCCGTCCCCGCATCCCCGGCTCTCACCACCGGCCCCGCCAGCCGGGCCAGCTCCCCGCTCTCCCGCCGGACCCCCGCGGGCAGGAGGCGCCGCGCAGCCCGCAGGCACCGCGCCGTCAGCCTGCCCGTCTCCGCCATGGGGCCGCTCCGCCGCTCCGCCGGGGCCGCCCGCCCGCCCTATGAGCACGGCCTCCCCGCCCCCGGGCCGTGGGGCTGCCGGCTGGGGGCGGTGCGGGTCGGAGCGCCGCGAGGAGCGGGGCTGCCGTGCGGGAGGATCCGCGTGTGTGTGCCCAGCGCAGGAGGATGCGGGTTTGGTGGTCAGGGTTTGCCCATGGGAGACAAAGGGATTTCTCAGCGCGTACTCCGGGCATGTTTCCCCTGCCATCAGCACCCTGTGGATTCCCCATCAGTAGGGGCACTCGGGGCTTGTAGTAGAATCACAGAGCCGTTCAGGGTTGGAAAAGACCTCTGAGAACCCTCATTCCATCCCCACCACCACCGTGCCCACTGACCGCGTCCCTCAGTGCCACATCTCCATGGCTCCTGAGCACCTCCAGGGACTCCCCCACCTCTCTGGGCAGCTGTGCCACTGCCTGACCGTTCTTGCAGAGAAGAAATATTAAGTTCTTTACAGAGAGAGTGGTGAGGTGCTGGAACAGCTGCTCAGAGAGGCTGTGGATGCCCCGTTCCTCGAGGTGTTCAAGGCCAGGTTGGATGGGGCCCTGGGCAGCCTGAGCTGGTATTAAATGTGGAGGTTGGTGGCCCTGCATGTGGCAGGGGGGTTGGAGATTCATGATCCTTGAGGTCCCTTCCAACCCTGGCCATTCTGTGATTCTGTGAAACCTTATCCAACCCTGAACAACCCTTGGCACAACTTAAGGCTGTCACCTCTCGTCCTCCAAACCAGGGATCCCCCATCCAGCTGGCTGGTGCTGCCAATGGTGGGACCACACCTCGGCTGGGATGCCCATAAAGGACCATATTTTGAGTGGGAGTTCAGGTTGTTATGAGGGAATGTGGAGTCACCATCCCTAGAACAGTTTTCAAGAGCAGGGGAGATGTGGCACAGAGGGATGTAGTTTAGTGGGCAGGGTGGGCATGGGTTGTTGGTTAGAGTAGATGATCTTTTCCAACCTTAATGATTCTGTGTTCCTACAAAGGTGAAATTCTACCTATGTGCAGGTGCTTGGAACCAAGCAGCTGTCCCCAGATCTGTTTCCACCATATGGAAAATTGCAGTGGAAAGGGAGGATTGCTTATACATAGAAGCTGTAACTGCTTATACCCTGTCTCAGTGACTTGCAGCTGTGATGTCACCTCCCAGAAATGTAAAGCCTCGTTAATGTTTCACCTTCCCCTTTGCTCCTTTGGCTAAGATATGACATCATGCAGTGCTGTGCAGCAGTGGTAAATCATAGCCTTTGATAAGTGCCATGACAGAATCTGGGCACCACAGGTCACCGCAGTGTCTGATCCCACTGTGAGCTGATCCTCGAGGCTGCAGGAGTCCGAGCTGCCTGCAAATCTGCACCTTTGGGGCAGCTGTGAAGAAATAGAAGTTGTCAGCAGTGGATGATGAACGTCCCTCCTGGCAGTCACAAGTCCACTGCCTGAGGACAGAGGGGTTCCTGTGGTGCCTGGAGGCAGGAGGGGACAGAAAATGCTCTGATGGTGCCATTCAGCCCTGGACAAACTGAGTGTGTGAGTCCCTTTCAAGTTTGCTGTGATCCTGATGGGACAAAAAAAAAAAAAAAGAATAAATCCCATGCTGGCAAAGAGAACCAACAGAAACCTGGGGAAAAGAATAAAACCTTTCTTCTTCGGGCTTAGGGGGTACCTAAAATTGTTGCAGTAGATGACCTTGGAGGTCTTTTCCAATTTTAATGGTTCTGTGATTCTTTACAGTGGTACCTGCAGGCTCTGGGCTACTGGAATGCCTGACATGCATAGAGGAGTTGTGATGAGGCAAGCTGAGCCTCGTGCTGGCACATTTGCTCCATCCCTTTCCATAGCAGGGATAGGGACGGTTCCAGCTGCCCCGTGGCATCTGTGGAGCCCATCTGTTGGAGCCTCAGCCAGATGGTGAGGGTCAAAGGTAGGCTAGCCTTGAACCCAGCTCTCCCAGCAGCCCGGATGTGTTGCAACATCAGGGAGAAGAATTTGAAGGGTCAAATTCCTCCAGAGTGTAACATCATTGAGTTGGGTCAGTTCAGACCTCCAGCGATGTGCTCAGGCAGCCTGGTACCCTAACATGGACGTGTTTAAAGGAATTAATGTGTGACTGGTGAGGAACCGGCTGGAGCACACAGCTGGGCTGCCCTCTGTGAGCTGCTTCCAACAGCTGGGATCTTCTCAGCAATGCTGATGTAAATCCAGAATGGAGGAAATTCCCAGCAGTGTGCAGCACTGGGAGAGCAGCAGCAGGCTTTTCCTCCACAGATTTCCAGCAGAGTTTTCCTTCCCCGAGTTTTCTCCAGATCCGTGCATCCATATTCTGAAATGCAGCCAACATCCTGCTAGTAAAATAAACCTCACAAATGCACCGTGTCTGGAACCATTAAGATTAAGAGCTGCCATGTAAGAAAAATGTCAGAACACAACAGATTTGTGTCAGACACTCATCTGTTTGAAGAAAGCCCCTTTCTTTTAAGGGACCTTGCTGCTGGCTGATGTCCAGAGACCGTGGAAAATCCACTCCCCCCTGAGTTCAAAATACAGCTAAATTAGAAACTAAAGAGCCTTTTGCAATGAAGTTGAGTTTTATTTAAGCATCAGACCCTAGGAGAGCATGATCAGAGCTGCTGTCTGGCCAGGGATGGATGGAGCACACAGGTTTGGGACTGCTGTACAGGGGACATCCCAGAGCAACCATCTTCAGACAGCTCCTCATGTGTAACCATCTGACTGCTGAGAAAGTTGCTGTTTGTATGTACATATATAGCAAACAGTGCTAATGATTTCAGGCTACAGTGACCCCAGCTGCAGGGCAGCCTCTCTATTGGGTATGCAGGGACAGATTTCCTGTTTAAACTCACACAAGTGTTCTCAAGTTTCCCCATGTGCTCAGCACTGAGGCTGCACCTTGAGTTGTGCGTTCACTGCAAGAAAGACATTGAGGCCCTGGGATGCTTGCAGAGAAGGGCTGTGAGCACAAGGCTTATGGGGATTGGCTGAGGGAGCTGAGATTGTTCGATGTGGAGAAGAGGAGGCTCAGGGGGGACCTCATTGCTCACTACAGCTCCCTGAGAGGAGGATGTGGTGA